ATGTCATAAAATATTAATATAGATAAAATGAGCCGTCCAAATGATGCTTTTGGATGAAAAACTTCTGTTTATTTTTAACTTGCCTTGTAAAATAATTGCTTAATTTAATAGTATAAAATTTTTCTCGTATTAGGGCCGTAAAAAAAGTTGGTTTGGAGAAAAGATGTAATTACACTTATTCTCATTTTGTCTTTATCTATCAGAGACCAATGAAGATAGCAAGTAAATTTAGGTTAGGTGGGGGCAATCCTTTCTTTGTTAATCGGCTTGACATTTTTTGGCTACTTTCTGGCCCCAAAGAAAGTTAAAATGGAAAGCATAAGAAAAAATCCCCAAAGAAAAATTAGCCCGGTTGAAGGACGTAAATTTTTGCTCGGCTTTGGTTTGATTTTACTTTGGTGCTTTTAAACAGGGTTTTTAATTTGAGCAAGTCCGCCCGTCTTAATTCATTCTCCTAAAATTTCAAGCAAAACGGGAAGCATTGTGGCAATTTTTTCCCTTTCTGGGCGGGTAAATTTTTGTAAAACCCAGTCTTTTCAAAGTATTTCCGAGCAAGAGCCAATGCCTACTTTTAACCTTTTAAACCTTGGAGTTCCTAAACATTCAATAATATTTTTAATTCCGTTATGCCCGCCGCTTGAACCTTGTTCACGGTAACGAAAACTTCCCAAAGGAAGGGTTAAATCGTCATAGATAACTAGAATATTTTCGCTTGCTATTTGAAAATAATTTATAAATTCTCGCACACACTCTCCGGAATTATTCATATAAGTTAAAGGCTTTAAAAGGATAATTCTTTGGTTTAGGTAAGTATGGGTAGTATATAAGCCTTTAAATTTTTCTTTTTTTAGTTCAATATTTAATTTAGTCGCTAGACCATCAATTACCTGAAAACCTAAATTGTGCCTAGTTCCTTGATATTCGGCTCCGGGATTGCCCAGCCCCACAATTAATTTTCCCACCATAAATTTGCTTTTATTTTTTGGTTAAGAACTAGTGAATAAGGGGTCATTATTTTTTAAAAACTCTAAGGCTTCTTTTTTATTGGCGAAAATATGAGTGGTAGGGTGTTCCATCCTTAAAGATAGACCAGTAGTTCAGGCTAAACCCATTTTTTTTCCCTTTTCATAAAAATTAAGTAAATAAAGAAGTTGGTCCGCTCATTTTACAAAAATGATATAGGTTTCCGGGTTTCGCCCAATCTTTTCGTCTAGCCCTTCCCCTATTCACTCAATAGAAACATTATCCCAGTTAGAACCTAAAAATCTTATAACTTTTTTTTTATCTCTATTATTAATTATTTTTTCTCCGGCTTGGTCTAGATAAGCAGAAGCAATTTTGGTTAAATGCTCGGCAAGCAGCGGCTGAACCTCGCGGACATTCATTTTTCCTGTTTCGGCTTCTTTTCAGGTTTTTAACTCTCCTAAACTAAAAACAAAATATTTTGCTAAATCTAAGCGTTTTTCTAATAAGTATTTTTCTAATTCTTCTTGTTTGGAAGGAATAGGTGAATCGGTGGCGGGGGGGCTAGTTTGACCGGGCTTATTATTATTTTCGGCTGGTTTTTGCTTAGCCGAGGTTTCTTGGCTTTTCCCTTGAACGACCTTATAAATAACGAACCCGCCTAAACCTAAAATGATTATTCCGCTAATTATTCATCAAACTAAATTATTATCTCTGCTCTTCATTTTTTTTGGCATAAACTTTATTCAAATGATAATTTAAGGCATAAATATCGGTCGGGTTAACTCCCGCTATGGTCCGCATTGCGATTCCTAATGAAGCCGGTTTTATTTTGGTTAATTTTTCCTGGGCCTCTTTGGATAAATTAGCTACTTGAAAATAATCTAACTGGGGCGGGATTTTTTTTTCTTCCGCTTTTTTTAAGGCTTGAATTTTATCTCTTTGTCATTTAATATAGGGTTCGTATTTGCTATCCACTTCTATTTCCCGCCGTTCTTCCCAATTTAATTCTTTAATTTCCGGTATTCAAGGCTGAAAATCATTTAAGCAAATTATTTTATTATTTTTTATTAAATCGTATCCGCTAAGGGCATTAACTGTTTTTCACTGACTAATATCTATTTGGGGAAAATTTTGCTCCACTAATTTAATGTTAAAGGTTAATTCTTGTAGTTTTTGCTTAATATCGGCGGCTAATTTTTGTTTAGTTTGCCATAATTCTCAATCTTTTTCGGCTAGCAAACCAAGTTCACGGGCAATTTCACCAAGGCGAGTATAAACATTATCGTGTCTTAATAATAAACTATATTCCGCTGAGGAAATCAAAAGGCGATAAGGATGAGTAATTTCTTTAGTAACTAAATCCTCAATTAATACTCCTATATAGGCCTCGCTTCTTTTTAAAACTAGCGGGGGTTGATTGCTTAATTTACGGCTAGCATTGATGCCGGCTATTAACCCTTGGGCAGCGGCTTCCTCATAGCCGGTAGTGCCGTTAATTTGTCCGGCGGGAAAAAGCCCACTAATTAATTTACTTTCTAAACTTATTTTTAATTGCGTAGAATCTAAAGCATCATACTCAATAGCATAGCCTCATTTTTTTACTTGGGCATTTTCTAATCCCGGCAAGGTTTTTAAAATCTGTGCTTGAACTGCAACCGGCAAAGAAGTTGACAAACCTTGAATATAGGTAGTATCTAATTCGCGAGATTCGGGTTCTAAAAAAATTTGGTGCCTTTCTTTGTCCACAAATTTATGAATTTTGTGCTCAATGCTAGGGCAATAAGGCGGTCCATTCCCTAAATCTTTTTTGTAAAAAATGGGGGATAAATGAAGATTTTGTTGAGTTAATTGGTGAGTTTTTTGATTAGTGTGCAGTAGGTAACAAGGTAATTGCTGGGCAAAAGGTAATAATTGTGAATAGTCACTATGAACGGAAAACCGTAAAGGCAAATTACTACCCGGCTCTATTTTTAATTGGGAAAAATCAATGGTGTTAGTTAAAACACGGGGGGAAGTTCCGGTCTTGAAGCGCTTTAAGGTAAATCCTAATTCCTGCAATTGCTGAGAAATATTGTTAACCACTTTTTTTTCTCCGCCGGGCCCCTCAATTTGGCTTTCTTGGCCTTTATAAGTAACAGGTTGTAAATAAGTGCCCGTAGTTAAAATTACTACTTTCGCCCCCACCGTTTCGCCATTGCTTAATTTTACTCCTGCTATTTGCTTTTCTTTGACTAATAAGTTATTAACCGCTCCTTCAATAACCGTTAGATTTTTTTGTTTACTAACTGCTTTTTGCATGTAGCGAGCATAAGCCACCTTATCCGACTGAACTCTTAAGGCTTGAATAGCCGGTCCGCCGGAGAAAAAAAAGTGGTTAACAATATTTCTCAGCAATTGCAGGAATTAGGATTTACCTTAA